CAAACATAATCCTTCGAACACAGAAGTGAGCATTGTGTGTTGCTGTTTTCAGAGCTGATGGACTTTGTCATCGTGTTTTTTTTAGGTACTATGACTTTAAACGCACTGCTGAAAAGAAGGAACATAAAACCATTGAAGCGGCAGGTAAGGTAAGAAAACGGTTTGATTCTACACTCAGGTTTTAGGCAAGAACCAGTCTTTGTTCATATGCAACATAGGGATTTATTGCAGTGTAAGTGTTAATGTGATGTCTTTATGTCATTCAAGGCTATGAAATCTGCGGAGAAAAAAACGCAGAAGACCCTGAAAGAGGTTCAGACTGTGACCACCATTCAGAAGGCCAGGAAAGTCTACTGGTAAGACACACATCACTATTTTTAATTCTACATATTCAGACTTTGATACAGTATTTTTATATTTACATGACAAGCAGCAGAGTCTTTCCGTTAATTGATTGACTTCTTTTGGAAGGTTCGAGAAGTTCTTGTGGTTCATCAGCTCAGAGAATTATCTCATCATCGCAGGCAGAGATCAGCAGCAGAACGAGATTATTGTCAAGCGCTACCTCCGGGCAGGTAACGAATGAACTTCAACACACTCTTTCTTTTTAAGAAAATGATATTCCTTCCAAACAGATCTAGTTCATCCCCTTTATGCATGCCTTTATTTTCTCAGGAGATATCTATGTTCATGCTGACCTCCATGGAGCAACCAGCTGTGTCATCAAAAACCCCTCAGGTAAGCCTTTGCTTTTCCATTCGCTATTTGACCTACAGTTTGTGAACATACTTCATTTTCCCACTCATTTTTGTGTGTCTCCTCCTCTCCATCTTGCTCCTTCAGGTATCCCCGTCCCCCCTCGCACCCTGACAGAAACCGGCACCATGTCTGTGTGCTACAGCGCTGCTTGGGATGCCAAAATCGTCACCAGTGCCTGGTGGGTTCATCATCATCAGGTGAGTCATCCATAGCAGGCCACTAAATATGCTAGCTTGTCATGTTTGTGTGTTATATAACAAATATATGCAATTAATATGTATTTATTTAAATGTATTTCACAGTTCCTGGAAATTATAATTAGGCGAAATTATATAAGGTGTATTATTGTATGTATTTTACAGCATGCCATTATTTTTAGTAAGTTAAATGATTAGAGCTGACGTTATAACAAAGTCACATATTGGCTGCTAACAAGCTAAGAGGTTAACTTGTGTTTTTTCTTTGATGTTCTGTCATAAAAACTCCACAAAGTCACTTTAACATATTTAATGTTTAATCAATAGGGGCAAAAAAAGTCTACAAAGAGATCAATGCATTATATCACAGCATTTTAACAACTCTTATTTTCCAATGCATATCTATATAACAGATACAGGGTATTCTGTCAGACAGGGGGAATCAAAAGAAAAACATGCAGGAAATATACATAAACAATGGATTTGATATCGTCGACATGTTTGAATAATTTTGTATTTATAAGCTGTTTTATATCTATAATTTGTGTTCAGGTGTCGAAGACTGCTCCTACTGGAGAGTATCTGACCACTGGAAGTTTCATGATCAGAGGTACGACACTGAAATGAAATATGTACCCATTTTGTAACACAACACCATGCTGATGTCTAACAGAGGACCAAACCTTTGACACGTTTCTCACCAGGAAAGAAGAACTTTCTGCCACCTTCTTACTTGATCATGGGATTTGGATTCCTCTTCAAGGTAAAATACTTCCATGAGCTCTGAGTACATGTTAAAAATGCAATGTAATGTAATGTTTAACTCTTCAAACGATTCAATGTCAGGCTTGTCTCTTTGCAGGTCGACGAAGACAGCGTGTCTCGGCACCGAGGGGAGAGAAAGGTGAAGACCATAGAGGAGGACATGGAGGACGTCTCATCCAGAGCTGCCGAGCTGTTAGAGGAGGGAGAGGAGCTGATAGGTAGAAGACACCAAATGGTTCACTCTAATAACCGTGTATGCATAAACTATGATCAGGCTTTAAAGCTGATTATCTTTGCTTTTGCAGGCGATGACAGCAGTAATGAAGACCAGGGGGAGGAAAGAGCAGCAGGAGATGGAGAGGTGGACGAAAAGATTAAAAAGGCAGATGATGGTGCGAGTGAACTGGCCGCTGTTCCTGAGGAGGAAAACATGGAGGAAGGAGACGGAGACAGCAGGGAGGAGAAGGAGATGGAAACTGAGGAAAGTGAAGAATTCAGCTTTCCAGATACGACCATCTCCCTCTCTCACTTACAGCCCAGCAGGTAATGTTACCTTTACAATGCTAACACTGACCAAAGGTAAAGGCCTCGACCAACTTCCAACATTCTTAAATCGTTCCAAATGACAATGAAAGTGTATCTCCTTATTTCTAGGAATACTCAGAACCCTGGCTTTAAAAAGGAAGTGACCACTCAGGTAATTTATTGCTATATATTACAACTGTTTTATGGAAGTAACATCATAAAGGAATTGATTAATTCTCTACAGGGGGAAGTAGACTCACAGGTGACGAAACACGTGACCGCGAATCAGAAAAGGTAAACGAATGTCATTTCAATATAACAACTTACAGTTAACATGCACTTCTTCCTGTTCAGCACATACAACAGACTTAACATGCTGTTAGCTACAGATAGTGTTTAGACAGGGGGCTGGTTTTACCAAGTCATATACAGAGGAATGTATTGTACTATGTAGCCCTTAGAAATATGTCTGAACTGTCTTTGCTACTAGAGAAGACAAGAAGAAGAAGAAGCAGAAACAGGAAGGTTGCGACACGGAGGAGAAGACTGAGATTCCATCTGCTGGCTCAGCAGTCGATCAGGGATCCAAAGGTGGAGGAGTTCCCTCCCTGCCGCAGCCCAAGAGAGGCCAAAAGGTAAGAGGAGTGAGATAAGATCAGATGTTCTGTTCTTAGGACCAGATCAATCACTGTGTCATATAACGTGAACAATATACAGGGCTTCAAAGGAAAACTAGAACACACTATAGTAAATTAACTAGGGATTAGGAGGCAAGCAACACTCATTATCTGTAGCTAAAAGAAAGCTGTGATCAGAAATGCATCTGTGCAGTATCAAAAGCTGTGACAAAATAAACACATTTTCTTTATGACATGAAATAATGTCTCAATGTAAATGGACTGTACTTATATAGCGCTTTACATACTACATGTCATTCACCCATTCATACAGAGCAGTACCACTTGCTCTAGGACCTAACATTCACACACCGTTGGCCATGCCATCGGGAGCAACTCAGTGTTAAGTATCTTGCCCAAGGATACATCGACATGTTGACTGCATGGGCTGGGATCGAACCCACAACCTTCTGGTTGAAAGACGACCGCACTCCCTCACAGCCAGTGGCCCTGAAAGAATACCAGTTGTTTAATGACTAAAGTAGTTTAATGAAAGCACCGATCTCTAACATGAATTCCCTGTGTTGTTTCTGTATTTCTTTCTTGTTGCCACCGCAGAACAAGTTAAAGAAGATCAAGGAGAAGTACAAAGACCAGGATGACGAGGACAGGGAGCTGATGATGCAGCTGCTCGGGGTGAGGATGAGTCAAATATTGTTTACTCTGTATGTCACCTTAAATGGTAGCATGTAATACTTCATTACTCTTGACGGCTGTCGTGCAGTCCTTGAGTCTGACTTGATAAATAAGTGTCTCTCTTCTGCAGTCAGCCGGTTCCCCTAAGGAGGAGAAGGATAAGGGGAAGAAAGGAAAGAAGGGGAAGGGGAAAGACGAAACGGTCAGGAAACCTCCCCCCCAGAAACCACCTCCCAAACCCCGTACTGTGGAGGCTGCAGTGAAAAAAACAGAGACGGGAGGAGAGGAGGGTGATGAGGAGAAACAACCCGGAGAGGAGGGAGGTGCTCCAGAACAGGAAGACAAGGTACGATGCACTGCCAGGGTCTGAAATGTACTATTTGTCTGTTTTTTTGTATAGAATTAGACACTGCTGTATGCACACATTATAAAACTTGCACAATGAAACGGAGTAAATAAACGTTGTTGTCCTGTCTTTCAGGAAGATGAGTTGGACCTGGACAACCCCGGAGCAGAGGTGGGTTTATATTGTTAACCATGATATATCTTCTTCAGCAATTAAAAGAACGTGTTGGTGATGAGCGTGTGAATTCGGCATGATGCCTTTGAATCCACTTTGCTTTTATTTCAGTGTAACTTCAGTGTTTCTTTGTGCTGCCTCAGGAAGCGGAGACTCTGCTCACCTCTCTGTCGGGCCAGCCTCATCCTGAAGACGTGCTGCTGTTCGCGGTGCCAGTCTGCGCTCCATACACCGCCCTTACCAACTACAAGTATGTGCTCAGAACTTTTTTTGTGACAAAGTGAGGTTTGCAGGAGCTGAATGAGTCTGTTGTTTTCCCACAGACACAAAGTTAAACTGACTCCAGGGGCCCAGAAGAAAGGAAAAGGTATGAATAGTGATCTATACTAATATTCGTAAAGCTTTAACAGTAGACTGTAAAGTAATAATTGATTGTCTTTTTGTTCTTACCAGCTGCACGCACTGCAGTTCTCAGCTTCATGAAAGCCAGAGATGCCTCAACCAGAGAAAAAGACCTGCTGCGCAGTGTCAAGGTAATGTTTACTTTAACATATATTACTGTTTTTTTGGGACTAGTTTTATAACCTTTGTATGGCACACTATAATTATTTAAGTCATAGAATGTAAATTAAGCACTTTCAAGAGTCCCTTGGCTCTTGGAATCTTCATTCCTTATTTTTTACTAATTTACCAACAATTGGAAAAAATAATTGACAGCTTCATCTCGAAATTCATTTTTCTTGATGTTACGATTAAAACTGTGTCCCCTCCGTCTTCATCCCGTTTTGCAGGATACTGATCTATCCAGGAACATGCCAGGCAAAGTTAAAGTGTCCGCTCCCAACCTGCTGGCTGCCAAGAAGAAATGAGAGAGGGTTGAACACAACCTTATCTCCATTTCAAGAAGCATCACAGTACAGCTCTCCTGTTGAATATCAATCATTTTATTTTAATTATTGATTGTATTTGTTGACATACAATTTCTTCAAAAATGAAAACATGTAAATTAACAAAGCTGAACAGAACACACCTTATGGTATGCGTTTATTCTGTGAGTATGAAGTAACAATATGCATTGTGTTGTACGATACAAAACATCAAGGGAACATTGTGCAAACCAGGCAAAATTCAAACAAAGCCCTGACATCAGGCGTTTCAGTGCAACTTGGCTCAACATCCAATACACTCGCAGCTCTTTAAGTTAAAATAAAATGCTACAGGGGTCACTCATGACAATTTTAAAAGCCTCTTTCAGAAAAAAGAACCCACCACACATTTCCTCACAAATATATAAATACCTCTCTATATATATATATAAATAAAAATTCACATTCCTGTGACTTCGGAGGAGATAGTCTTGCGTAACAAAGCACTAGTTTTAGGTCTGAGATCTTAAATTATCCAGGATTTAGAAAACCTCTATATTAAAGATCAGGCCAAACGTTAAAGCAACAGGCTTCCTCAATCTGCACTGTTAAAGCAAACCTGTTCCAGCCGGTCACCGCTGCGTTTAGTGTTAAGACATTAGTCAGTAAATCAGTTAAACTTCTGAGGAAGGAAATTTGAAAAAGCGACTGGCGTTTGTGTAAGGACTGGAACTCTATGGTGGACTCTAGGGTTATCTGACAGGATGTCCTAACATTATGGAGGAAAGGGAAGTCCCGCCCCTTTTCCAAACTAATTATTTTTCCAATAACACAATGGATTTTCTTTCAGTGGTTTTCCTGAAAAGCACGAGGGGGATTTTCTGTCTATACTCTAAGCTTAGCAGGTGAATACTACTGCACTGGCACGCACAACACATTGTTTTACCAAAAAGATGAAAAATAACTTTTTTAAGCATTAAACAATAAAACCTCACTGGAATCCTAAACACAGAAGCGCTGTCATAGTGTCAAGTTTGATCTTAATCAAATGTTTGTTTACAGTACAGAAGTAGCAATCAATTTATCTTAGAACACCGAAATGAAAACCACTTTTCAGTTACCTCTCAGAGTAATAAAAGTATGCTTAGCAAAGAATAACCCAATTGTAATGCATGATTTCTGCTCTCGCTCACATTAGTGCGTCACTGGCACTGCTTCTCCTCTAAAGGTTTGACTGGCTTTTCAAAGTGTGTATGATGAACAGAAAAGGTAATGAACAGCTATGAGGATGGTCTGACAGTCTGGACCCTCTTCAGACCGTTTCCACAGCTGTTCACTATTGCTTAGATTCTTTTTTTTAATTGGTTCACACACATTAAACTTATGCTTTAACAGGACTACCTGGTTTGACAATTACACTCATCCATACATACATGTATATTATCCAATCCTCTGGACTGGAGTTTCTCGTAGCCTAGGAGATTCCAGTGTGTTGACGCGTGACATCCTCTGTTTGAGGCTGTTCAGGAGGTGTTTAGGCAAACAGTCCCAGTAATTAGACAATCGCTCCCTATGCTGCAGAATGGCCTCCATACAGAACCTAAAGAGCGGGAAAAGGCCATCATAAGTACAAAATAACAAAAGGATAACATTCTGGGGCCGTATTCACAAAGCATTTTATCTTACCGCTAGGAGTGCTCCTAACTCGCGCTAAAACATTTTACGTAGGAGTTTTTTCTTAAAAGTTATTCACAAAGCCGCTGAGACCTACTCATACTAAGGATAAATCACTAAGAGTGACGACGCCGTTGCTATGGATTACGTCGATTCTCGTGCATGAGTTTAGAAGCGGTCAGTACGGTGATTGGTTGTTCAGAGTAGGCGGTCTCGGTGAAACTCATCCGCAACATCCCACAAACGAGCCCACTAAATCACCCAAAAACAAGGAAATAGCCTAGGCTAGAAAAGTATTCCTATCAAATAGTTATGGACAGTGCAGTTAGCAGAATACACACATGATGACAAGTTTGTGCAGACCACGATAATGATGTTGTATATACACGTTAAAGAGAGAGAGCAAACAATAAAAATACGTAAATTGCATTAAATCAAGGAGGCAATTAAAAGCACCCTGCAAACTATTATCCAATGAGCATATTTCCAGCACTTAAACACTTTCAATAACAGCCCATACCGCCGTTCAAGTCCCCCTATCATGATGAATGAAAACAATCTGCGTGTTGATGGAATGTACTTTCTTTCTATTGACGAACACGTCCTCATCTTTTGATGGCGCAATTATTTTTATGTGCGTCCCGTCAATAGCACCGACCAAGGCATACCTGCAATTGCCATGAAGTTGGCTTTGATCCTGTGTAGTTGTTGATTGTCCAAAGGAAACCGGATAAACTGTTGGATGATATGTGGTCTAGAGAGCGCGTTGATGGTTTGGTTTATGGCACGGCTGACTGATGGTTGCGATATTCCTAAATCGTCGGCATTGCAAAGTTGCATTTTCCCTGTTGCTAAATATCGTAGTGTTGCCAAACATTTTATTTCCGGACTAATCGGGTTATTCCTGTTAGTCGGGGATGTTATTGCATCCCGCACTAATTCCACAACAAGTTTGATACCCTCACGATTTAGCCTATATCTCTTGATCAATTCACAGTCTTCCATTGTCTCCAAAACATTTCGTCTCGCAGCCATTTTCAGATTCTTTGTGAATAGGTCTTACTGAGTTAGGAGTCCTCTCGAGGACTTTTAAGCTCTCCTAAACTTAGGTGCTACTTTTAGGCCTAAAATACTTTGTGAATTGCTCTTAGTGAATAAAATTAGGAGTCCTAAATGTAAGACTGACACGCCCATTATGTTTAGGAGTTTCTCCTAAATTCGCCAGTTCGGAGCTACTTTTAGCCCTAAGATCCTTTGTGAATACGGCCCTTGATCTAGGAGGTACAACTTTAAAACCCCGATATGGAAAAGATTGGTTTACATTTTAATAATCAAATAAGTACTGTATGTGGACATAACCAATAACCTACCATAGCCAATAACAAATAAATGTAGCTTATTTTTATTTTTGTTGTTCATTCATATCGTATTTTACCTAGTTAACATTTATTTATGCATATTTTTGTATCTCTCCAACTTTAAACGATATTTTTGGATTACTGTCCTATAGTATACATTGGAATGATTTAAAACCTGTTTTTATTTATCCTAATAATTATAAAGGAGTGCCTTGGAAATATGTGTTTACATAATACGTTACAATTAACTTTGTGGTCTCTGTGTGACTGTTTGAGACCCATTCAGATATTACCATTAGTACTAGCCAATTCATTATCTGAACATCCAGAGTCCTATTAACTCTCTGAGACCAGCATCATTCTGTACAGGAAGTATCTGCTAATCCACACTGGTTGTGCAAACTCTACCTTCTTCTACCCGTCTGCGGAGCTAGCACCAGTCCTAATAACAACAAGCGTCCGGTGACCACCGAGTGAAGGAGTGCCAGTACCGCCTCTCATCGCTCGCTCGCTCTGTCGCTCCCACAACTCGGACGTTTGGCTGTGAGCTGCGGAGCGCGCTGATAAGCCCAACCATCCCCGACCTTTTCATCACTTACAGCACCATTCGCTACAGAGCACAAATCTAAAGTGTAACCGGGGTGAAAAGGGTGTGTACATTTCTTAAATTAGGAATGTTGTTACATCAAGACTGGAAATATTGTGATGAGCGCCAACGGTCCACAAATGTTTTTGCCCTCCAGAGCTACCAGCGCTGCGCCCCCAGAATCTGCGCCCTTAGCGACCAGCCGTGTCGCCTATGCCAAAAATCGGCCTGCCTAGTACATTACAGTGGCAATGTCTCAACATTAGCAAAAATACACATTTTTGAACATACAGTAACACAAAATACTCATATCCACATACACAAAACATTCAAAAAGGAAAAAGGGTCACCACTTATTTATTAAAATAAAAAAAGTAAAAAATTTTTTTGTAAGGTATCGCTCTGGTTTTATTGCTCATTTGAGTGAAGAACTAAAATAATTTTGACTTTCAACGCTCTGAAGATCACATCAGGCCTTGGCACGTGAGGTTTTAGTGTTGTGTGTGGTGTGTGTGTGTTGTGTTGTGTGGTTGTGTGTGTGGTGTGTGTGTGTGTTGTGTGTGTGGTGTGTGTGTGTGTGTGTGTGGTGTGTGTGTGTGTGTGTGTGTGTTGTGTGTGTGTGTGTGTGTGTGTTGTGGTGGTGTGTGTGTGTGTGTGTGTGTGTGTTGTGTGTGTGTGTGGCGTGGTGTGTGGTGTGTGTGTGTGTGTGTGTGTGTGTGTGGTGTGATGAATTGTATTCAAATGTGATCTTATACATATTTTGATATGATTGTAATAACTTCCGAGTTAAAGGATTATTAATCAGACATTATTTTGAAGGTCATTTGACTGTTATTTCCTGTTTGTTCACAAGTATACGAGTAAAGAATGTGAGATCTCTATTCTAAACTGATTCCAGGTGGATATTTGGTGATTTATATCAATAGAGGTATTTAAACTAATGTATTAAGTAAAGTGTCATGTGCTCAACACAGTTCTAAATATATATTTATTGATATGTCACTCAGCAAATTGCGTTTCAGTGTGTATATGTTTAGCATATAGACATAATCTAATACTAGCAAAGTTACGTGCTTACAAGGGCTTAAGGGACTCAAGATAACAGCAAAGGTACGTTGGTCAAATATAAACAGGATAATTTAAGAGAATAAGACAACATTACATATTTCTATTTAATTAGATTTATTGAGGTTAACGAACTCAGGGGGCCCCTTCCCTGATTAACTAGGGAACTAACTGGGCTACACATGTAAACACACAGTGTGCTCTTTTGTACATCCTCCTACTTAAGATACACTTTTTAACAATTTCCTTCAGAGTGGAGACATTATACAAAAGTAAGGAGATAATAGGCACTTGTTATGTCTCCACCGGTCAGCTGGGGTACTGGTTCTATCAAACATTAGGGCTGCTCGATTATGGCAAAAATCAAATATTTCGATATCTTTGGGTCCATAATTGATATCGCACGATTATAACAAACGATTTTCCATTTACTTTGAAAACATCATTTATTGAAAGAAAAATGTGAACGTAGGGGGGATTTTTAACAGTTGATTACCCTGAACTTTAAGTATAATTCAACGAAAACCAATAAAAAAAATAGTTTACATTCTTTAAAAAAAAAACATTTGGATTATGTTCTTTTCGTACATTGTTGGCAAGCCAAAATCGTAATTGCGATTTAAAATACGATTTTTTAATTGAGCACCCTATCAAATATGTACATGTTTCTCTAAACCGATTCTTAGGAAGTTCAATCAACTCTCTCTCTGTTTCTGATGCACACAGATGCTTGAAGCCATCATAATATTACAGGCTCTTATAGTATTAGAAAATGATGTCATTTGGAATGTACTAAGCTAAGTCTGCTTGGAAATCACGAGGATATATTGTGCACGGTTAGAACTGACCTAGATAAGGGTTACATGGCACGATTACCACCACTGTTGACGGTGTGCCTTAATCAGCTTAACTCATCAGAAAGAGATAGCAAGGTTCTGTTTGGTTTTTCATCTAGAGATTGTGATAAGATTTTTCTGTCAACACGCATTACTTGAAACAAGCAGCATAAGCTTGACAGTCCAGAGACTCAGAAATTGATGGGATAATCAATCTTGTAAGACGATATGATTCGTTTCTAAAACAAACAAATCCAGTACTATTTCATCCTTTGGTTCTCTACCCTAGGCCTATTGGACTGTTGTTTGTCAAATGTTTTACGCCTTGAATCAGGTCTGTTCTGCCCTAATTTCCAGTTATATTATTTTAATATTTTTAATGTAGGCCTGTTAAATAACCTTATTAAATGACTTCTTTTTTTATGCTTGGACACATTTGGCCAGTAGATGGCGCTTGTTTGAGATTGTGTTCATATACATCTCTGAAAAGAATTATGAACCACTGCAGCGTTTTCTGTTCTTGGTTTAAACATTTATTGGTATGTGGTTGAGAAATTAACATTTATTTTGTATTTATAAGCCTACTGACAAACAATGTCTCGGGTTGTAATTCACAGACATTGGAATGGAGGCTGCCATAAGAGATTGTTAGATTTAAACATTTGGAGTATCTCATTTCTTCCAGAGCTGTTCTGTTACAGCAATTCATTTCACTGTAGCTGTACATCTCTTAGAATATTTACATGATTCAATATTACGATAAATGCAGTTTATTATCTAGGCCTTGTGCCCGAAACTGCTCTCATGTTTGAGCTTAGGTTGGACCTGGATGTTTTTTTATCAAGTGCTATTCTAGCTTGCTTACGATAAGAATGTGCTGCCTGTGGTTTGCTTAATTTTTATATGGTTTGACTAGTAATATTTTTGAACAAATGCAAAGGCACCTTTAGACGAACACATTGGGCTCTAAAGGGTTTGTTCTAAACATATTTAAGTTGTTTCTTTAACAAAAATGAAAATCAGACCTTAACTCTAATTGGGTCTGTGGGTAATTTCAACAGCATGCATATGTGGTGATACGTCACTTAACGTATGACACAAGACGCCATTAAGATTGGGTCATGATGAAACTATATTAATGGGATGACATTGAGTGATTTGATCTGTTACAGTACATTGTTTGTTACCAAAAAATGTTATTGTAAAAAACAAAACTTAGTGACGTTGAATCTTGACACAAAAACCCTTTGTAATAAAAAGAAAAGAAGGGATATTAGAACCCTGAGCCAACATGAAGGTCAGAAACTCTCAACGTCGCCCGAAGCTGGTGAGTTGTCAGCAAAGTAAATAAATAAGTCAAACGTGAGCCGGTGTTATGGCCTCGATTCAGTTATATTTGCATTCTTTTCTCACCATCACTCAGAATTTAGCATCAGTAATTTGTTTTTTCGATTTGGCTCGCATGAGAAAAGATAGTAAGGTGAGATTTGGTGTGACAACACAGTGTGAGAGGTTTATGTGTGTGGAGTAGGTCACCGTGACTTCTCACAGGTTTGTATCCTGAGCGCTAATGATCTCCTAGATAGCAGTGTGTATTTCGGGGTGTTGTAATAGTAATCCTGCTGCTCTCTCTTTCATCTCGGGCCCTCTCTCTTGCCCAGAGGGGTGGGAGCAGTCGCACTAAAAGGTCGAAGCAGGTTGCCATTAGAAAGTTTGCATGCTGGGTAAGAAGCGCTACTGACCTGAATATCGCAGTGCAGAAGTTGTTATTATATATAAGTTTCCCGTATATGGTCNCATGATGAATGAAAACAATCTGCGTGTTGATGGAATGTACTTTCTTTCTATTGACGAACACGTCCTCATCTTTTGATGGCGCAATTATTTGTATGTGCGTCCCGTCAATAGCACCGACCACACCGGGCATACCTGCAATTGCCATGAAGTTGGCTTTGATCCTGTGTAGTTGTTGATTGTCCAAAGGAAACCGGATAAACTGTTGGATGATATGTGGTCTAGAGAGCGCGTTGATGGTTTGGTTTATGGCACGGCTGACTGATGGTTCGATATTCCTAAATCGTCGGCATTGCAAAGTTGCATTTTCCCTGTTGCTAAATATCGTAGTGTTGCCAAACATTTTATTTCCGGACTAATCGGGTTATTCCTGTTAGTCGGGGATGTTATTGCATCCCGCACTAATTCCACAACAAGTTTGATACCCTCACGATTTAGCCTATATCTCTTGATCAATTCACAGTCTTCCATTGTCTCCAAAACATTTCGTCTCGCAGCCATTTTCAGATTCTTTGTGAATAGGTCTTACTGAGTTAGGAGTCCTCTCGAGGACTTTTAAGCTCTCCTAAACTTAGGTGCTACTTTTAGGCCTAAAATACTTTGTGAATTGCTCTTAGTGAATAAAATTAGGAGTCCTAAATTTAAGACTGACCATTATGTTTAGGAGTTTCTCCTAAATTCGCCAGTTCGGAGCTACTTTTAGCCCTAAGATCCTTTGTGAATACGGCCCCTGGTGTATATATATATATGGTTCACACTCACCGAACTAGTGATTTGGGCTGAACGTTCAGAACCAGTAACTCGTTGCTGTGAGCCTGTGGAGTAGGAAAAAAAGTTTAGTAAAGGGGATTTCAAAGAATGTAAAAAAAAGTATGTGGACTAAATATGACTTACTGCTCTGTGATGAGACAAAAGGTTGTTGGCACACCCTCCAAACACAAACACCTCTCCATCAGGACCGGAGCATGCTGTGTGCCACAGCCTGAAATACATAGCACAATGTTCACTCACACTGCCACATTAATGAGTGATCATTTGGCTCAAACTGAATCTACAAAAATCTAAAAGGTGTTGAAAGTAATACGATAGAATTACCTCGGGCTCTCTGTGTGACTGTGTTTGAAAGGCTTCCATTCATTTTTGCTTACATAGTACAGCCAAGCATCACCTGAACATACAGATAATAACTCTGTGAGACCAGCGATCATTTTGAGGTGACGAGGAAGTATTTGCTAATCAAGAACTAGTGTCAAACTCACTCAGAGTCTCTCTCTCTGTGGTGAAACCTCCAAATAAGAAGATGTGGTCCGGTGACACCGGAGTGAAGGAGTGCCAGGACCGGCCCACAGGACCAGGCTGAGGAACGCTCCTGCGACAGGGGAGAACACAACAAAGAGTTATGTCAGTTGTGAATATCCACAACAGATGACCTGATATTAAGGTGTTTTTTTTAAACTATACTCTTTCCTCTTGGAGAAGAACAAACTTACATTTCATGCCACTCCCACGTGTCCAGGTCAATGTAGTACAGGTCATTTAGTCTGTAGTTCTATTATCCAAAGGAGATGGGCGTTAGAATTCATTATGTGATCGTAAACAGGTAGGTATGAGAAGAATTTACAACAAAGAGGCAAAACCACACCCAACGTGAGAAATTCTAGCTTAGATTTTCCTCACCTTGTATCGTCCCCCGAACACGTAGCCTCGGTTACCAACTGTGGCACAAGCATGAGCCGCTCTGGGTGATGGGGCGTTTCCCTACATCAGGCCATATCAACAGTACAATTGGTTTAAAAATCAGTTATTACCACGTGAGGGTCTAAGAGTAGCAATAAAATAACAACTTCCTATTAAGGCAGGAAAATAGGGATAATGCTTTTTTTTTTTTTTAAGGAGTTGGAGGCTGTTTGAAGAAAATGATTTGGTTTTGTTTGCTGCATGCAGAGAGTTGAGTGTGTGATGAAGTTGTGTGAGGTGATGTTGTTAGTCAGTGCTTGTGTTTACCCTGGTGTTGGGCTGGCTCCATGTTGATGTCTCAAGGTCCAGGATGTGGATGTGGTTGTTCCAGCCTCTTCCAGGGATGTCCCACTGCAGTAGCAAACCAAAAAACACATTTATTTAGAATATTATAAAACTGTGTCTTTACAATGGAAGGAAAGAGCAGCTTTTAAAATATTTTATATAATATTAAATACGGTATATATTTGTTTACCACGAGTGAAGATGATTCATCATACTCAAAAGTCCCTTGCTGTGTTCCTTGCGGAGCGTAGCCGTAGCCCCCAAAGAATATGAGTCTGTGGAAACAATAGCAAACAATAAGTATCTCCATAAAGATAACAATCTGTGATTACTATTGCAAATTCATTATTTTGTATTTACCATTAATACTATGGTTAATCGTTTCACATGGCTGAAACTTGATAGCCACTTAACATAAAGATGTAGCTCATTTGTGCTAAAAGACTAGATTTAGTTTGATAACTAAATATACCACGATATTGGTTTTGATTGGTCTAACATGTTGGAATCTTATGGTCTTGTAGTTAATGAGATACAACCCTTTTATTATGAAACTATATTCTTTCTATGGCAGGGTATATGCAGGAATCCTGAAGTCAAATGTAATACCTTTTAAGACCTTCTCTAAGACCCTTTCCATACATTTTAAGACCTCATCGCCACTTTGAGTTTTAACCGGTTACATTGGCGACACACTTCACTTTACCTCACATTTACTATAGTATTGATTGTCCTTCCTCCTTATCTTCCAACCATTTGGACGCAGACTTGCATTTCCCCATAACGATGTTGTTTAACAACCGGCGTAAACGGACCTTCGCGCGCTATCAAGCAGTGAGCGTGCGATGTCCTGTTCAGATGATGTCAAATCCAACGGGATGCCATAAATAAACTACACAGAATCACACTACACACCAACGCAATGATTACATTCAGGCAGACTGTAGAATACAACCTCTTTGGACCATTCATATACTTATTGAAAACAAGCTACAAAATGTAATACCTTGGAAGATGCCGTTTAATACTTTTTAATAGCCTTAATTTTCGCTAAATTGATTTATCAACTTTTAATACTTTTTAAGTCCCCGCGGACACCCTGTATGGGCACATAGGATTTCAGTTTTTTCCTAAAATATAGTGGGATAGTAAAAAGCTCCTAATCCAGTCACTACAATTTGACTGATTGAGCATTTATTCAGATGTTGCATAAGAAGAGAACACATTCATCTTAACAGCAACATCCAAGAGAAAAAAGGCAGTCATCACTAACCTGTTTTTCTGAACCCAGCACCCTAGCTTGTCTTTGCAGGTTGGAGGGGGTCCTTTAAGATCCCTCATTTCCTCCCAAACAAGCACGGGGGCTCTCAGGGGCAGGCGGTATATCTGCAAAGCACAGCACAAAATACAGGAGTTCTGAAACATAATCTCAGACAGCAGGCTGACCTGCTCGAAGGTCTTTTTGATTTAAAACAAAATGACAGAGGACATTAACTAATGTAACACACAAACTATACCCTGTTAGTGTTCCCTCTGGCGTGATGACCTCCAAATAAGTAGAGGACTCCATCAACACACACCCCACAGCTGCCCGACCTGGACGTTTGCAGATTACCTCCGGCTGCATGCTTTGTCCTGTGAACATTTAGAGTTTTATGTTATTTATGGCCCATGACTATTGGATCAATATATAATTTAAATATAAAAGCAATTACCATACTCCTGACTCCATGTTGTATGTCCAGATCTCGTTTTTCGGCAGATACAAGTCAAAGAATCCATGGTTTTGAGCATTCTTGTATAGAGGGAGAATAAAATGATATGTGTATAAATATTATGTGTTTTTTAGGATTTGTTTTCCAGAGCTGTTGTGTAAGAGTATACATTTAGTCAAATAATTCACTTAAGTACAACTTTGAGGTACTTGAACTTTACTAGATTATTATTTTTTCATGGCACATTCTACTTCTACTTTCAAGGCAATAATTTAACTTGTAAAATATATATTAACTCCTCTGCATGTATCTAATAAAGCTCCTTACCTTGTATCCACCCCAAACATACATGATGTTTCTGTCAACCACTGCTATATGACCACTGCGCTCAGCTGGTGTATCCACCTCAAACGTTTCAGATACTTCAGTGTCCAAAGGCTGTTCCTCCTCCACCTCCTCCTCCGCCTCCTCTTCCTCCTCCTCCTCCTCTTCATCCTCATCCATATCATCGTTTACCATCCAAGCAAACAATCTCTCTTCTTCATCTCTGTCTGAGTCATTGTCATCCTCTCCAGCTGGCTGGTCTCCAATGTCTTCCTCCATCTCTGCCACTCTCTCTGCCATGTCAGTCTGTACTGTCTCCTGTCAGTGAGAAAGTGAGAAAGAGAAACCTTTTAAGTAACTGCTGATAGGGTTTCTTTAATCAGCTATTATTAATGTGAATCTGCAAACTAACTAAAGATATTAAATACATGTAGTGGAGTAAAAGCACAGTGTTTACCTCTGATTTGTAGTGGGGTAGAAGTAAAAGTAGCAAAACGTTTAAATACTCAAGTAAAGTCGTCCCTCAAAAATGGTACTGAAGTACAGTATCTGAGTAATTGTAAACTCATTTTGGATCCACACCTTTTAATCCACTTTTGTCTCTTTCTTACTGATATTGTTTCAGCTAATTTAAGACAATAGACCAGATAATGTTAGCTGGCAGCTCGTTAACTGCTGACCTACTGTGTTAGCTTACCTATTTAAGATACTAAAACATTGTTGGTGGTTAGCTTCGCTTGCAAATAAGAGAGGGGACGAACTATAGTCCTAAATTATGATATATTTGATAAAAATGCCCAAAATGACTGGCCACAATTGTAGCAAGCCCGAAACAGTTGTTCATCAGTTAAAACGGTTAGCCTGGGTAACAAAGCGTCTGTTAACTTGAACATACAAAACACTCCGACTATTCAGTGCAATAAACGCGCAAAAATGATATTGTTCACGTTGGTGTCGAAGCTAACCTATACATCATTAGTAGTTAGGGGTAAGAAATAAGCTCGCCAGCAGTTACCTTGTACTGTAAGATGTTTGTTTTTCTTGCAAATTCAAAAGAGGTACGCCATGTATTTGAGGTAATCACAAGCATTCTGGGGGCACGACCGGAAGTTATCGTCTTCTTAAAGACGCCATCTTGGTAAGGTCGGAATATATATATATTTTTTAAACTGCTACCCATCTCTGTTCTTCTAACTGGTGGGCATTGTGGTTTTAACACGCACCTGGTATCCGATATCGTACAAAATGATAAACACTATGTACTATTAATTAATCCATGAAGAGAGTCTAGAAGAAATCGTAGTTTAAAAGATGTTGACAAGTGATTTTCAAAGTAAAATATATATATATAGGCCAATATATATTAGGTTCTGAAATGCTTTTAGGGCAGGGAGTTCTTAATATAGAGATTATGTCAGCAGCTAATTCTATTAAAAAAAAAAGTTATTTGTTTTGTGAAAGACACAACACAATATACATTTACTAGACCAATATTAACCATATGTGCACCATTTTGACACAGAATTCCCATAAAACAGTGTGATTGACACCAATTCAATTAGCAACAACATAAGAAAATAAATAAAACATGGATTCTGAATTTGTTATCTATAATAATATATAATACGTTAGATTAGAACGTTGGCCACAGACCCCACTTTGAAAATCCACCTACCTATCCCCAAAGACTTGAAAGGCAGACTATAGTTTTTGAGGTATCTCAAAGAAAGGCTGATCATCGTGCATACACAAATATGTCAGGTATCCAGTTTCAAGAATAAAATCTTTATTATTCATGACAGAACATACACAGATGCATACATAAAACTACAGAGATTTGTCACCAAAATATTTAAAACACACAGTATAATACATAAGCAATGTACAAAACGATTTTGACGGATCCATTTACTTCCTTTAGAGTCCTTGAAGTTTGCTGTGAACACACAAGAACACAACTGATTAGTATAAGCATTACTGATGGTCAATACTATAGTTTTCTGTTATGAAAGATCTCAAGTAACAAGTTTAACCTAAAAAAAAGCGTCCTACCTGTCCTCAATAGTTCTGCTGGCTGGGTAGTACACCTTAAATGTGAAGCCACTTTTTGGGAACGAACCCTGTAGAAACAGATTATTTACAAATGATATAAGTGACAAAATACAATAGAAATTCAAATATCATTTTCTGTCAAAGGACCACTGTTGCTTCTCACCGGGTTGACACACAGGCAGTCTGTGTTTTTGATGCTGAATGGGTCGTATTTGTCTGCGAAGATGATGACATCAGGGATTGGGTATACCCGCAGGGAGTAGTCGTACGCCCAGAATACAGGACTGACATACAGAGGCAGTGGAGTCAAGTGACCCTGGGATAGGATGGTCTTAACAAACTGCGAAGAGGACGAGTAAATGACAAGATCATTTATTTTAGAAAAACAAAAGGACAATACACATTTGTTTTGTCAGAAAGGAGACCAAGTTGGATAATTTACCAATATCTTTGCAGCAACTACTCTATGTTTCAGTTCACTCGGTAAGAACGTTCTTCAAAGAAGCTGAAACTCACATGGTTTGGAATGTCCAGATTGTTATTGGGCAACCGGACACAGTTCCTGCACATCTTGTTGACCAGGTCTTCTCTGATAATGACGATCTCCTGGGTGCAGTACTGGATCCTGACAGGAAAAACAAAGCAGTTAGAGCTAGAACAGTCGAGTGCTTTAAAATGTCAAGGTACCAGTCAAAAACATTCTCAAAGACATACAAATCAACCCTGATCATTCTCCATAAAAGACTGTTACCTGCATGGGTTAGTAGTGAACACTGAAAATGGCACCCTCTCTCTGAACTCCTCCGTGATGTGATCTGCCAAGGGAGGCCTAAGAAAAACATATGTAGCAACATTTGTCCAAATCACTGAACAAAACTCACATAATTCTATTAAAAAGCTAATGTTCCTGAATGTTTACCGTGGCAGGATGCTGCCAGGACCGGGGTCTTCTGGGCCAGGAACAAACACAAAGCGACAACTGCAAACAAAATTCATGTCAAACTTATTGAAACTTAAAAGTTGAATAGTGCAGGAGTGTATTGTGTTATCTACATGAGCTTCCTTATGCACATGCACAAAAGAAACAAGACCTACTCAATAGCACCACTATGGGTCATTACAGGGAACCTTAAAACAGAGCAGAATAGAGGAAGAACTCTATGAGATCCTACCTGCTGTGAATGCTGGGGTATGAACATATAGCATCAGCAAGCACCTTCAATGACTCTAAAACAGAAAAACTAATTAGATTCCGAAATACTTTCTATTCATCATTCAAAAATCTGTAGTTTGTTTGAAGCGATGAAGACCCAAAAGTCTCACCTTTGAGAGATTTGATCTGTGTTTTTCCATATGGGGCAGACGAGAAGTTTCCACAAAAAATGAAACAGGTAGGAGGCATCGTAGCATAGCCTGTAAGAAAAAACAAAAAGCAAGGCTAAGTGGGATTGATGTCTCATAAAGTGCATATATGGGACCTGTGAAGTCTATGATGCAACACCAGACCTGAGAACATGACATTGAGCTTCTCCATCACTTCAACGCTGTCTAGCCACACATCAGAGACAATGACAAACATGGCGTCTTCATTCTCTGCCTCCAGCTGCTTCAGCTTGGCTGAGGCCTTCACTGAGGTGGTGGATGGACCGCCAAAGAAGTTGAGATTGCCGTAGTATGCTCTGGAAATAAAGCAAGGAGCATCAGTGACTAACTGTTCTTACACATACATTTTTGTTCTTTTTAAATAAACAATTTAGAGTTAAGTGCCCCGAACTCAAATAGAAATGAGGGGAGTTGCAACAAACTTTGAATGCCAATTTTAATATCTTGTGAGTAATAAACATATATGTTGTAAACATCCCAGTGCTATTATATTTGGTTAAAAGCGTTATCATCGTTAAAGATTAATGTCATTATTACAGACAGTTTCAATACTCTTGATTGAAAAAATAATAATGATGTTGGCCTTCACCTTAGTTTAATGACGATTTCGCCGCATATCAACAACAAGGTAAAACGACCTCACAGATGTCATACTAGATTCTTCTTTCGCTTTGGGGTCATTTTAAAATGTGAAAAGCTACAGATTAACTCCCATGTCTATCAGGTTGCGCACATCTCTACTGACAGCTCACTGATTTTTCTTGTGATTAAATGTCTTCTGAAAAACGTTTTCCATCCACTGACCTTGTGCCTGATGACGACTCTGTTGGTGGGAACCCAAAGCCATTGACGTGGAAAACCGAGTCCTCGTACCAACCTGCAGGACAAAGGGGACAACTTTCCTTCTAATAATGTTTGTGATAATACTTTATATTTTTATATATTAAATCATCTTTTTGTATTTTCAATAATGCCATTTTTAGAATGAGTTGATGTCTTACCCTCTGCCAGCACAAAGCAGGATTCTGTGTACAGGCCATTATGAAACTGGTGAGAATCTAGTTAAGGAATTCATCCATTTTAAAAGCATTGTATATTGATCAATACAAATTATTGATGACCAGCTATAACAAATATTTTGAAAGGATATTGCTTTGGACATGTCCAGTTGTACTGTTCCACTTAGGTCCTCCAGGTAAAATTTACCCTGAAAAGAAATTAAGAAATGTTTAAGAAACTAGTTGAAAATATAAAATGTACTGAAGAACAGACAGGAAGCTTTTTCTCCCCAAGTCACCTCTTTCAGTTGTGTGATCATCCCCAGTACGATCACTTCTCCCAGTTTAGCTGTGCTGCCAAGCAGTGCTTCAATTGTCTTGAGCTAGAAAATACAAATAAAAAGGGAAAACAATCTGTTAGTGAAATGCAAAACATTAGGATGTGTTTTATTTTCTAGTAGTATTTTAAGATGTGTTACCTGAAACTTGTTTTGACCCTCTTCAACAGCAGCTCCTATTGCAGGAGGGGTGAAGAGCTGGTGCCGATGTATACGCTACAAAACAATAGGTCTGTATTAATACAACGTGCAAACTACGCACACTGGACTGGCAGCAAAGACATTGAATCCAATTTGATAAAGACAGACTCACTGACCTGTTGCAAGATGGTGTAGCGCTCCCTGAAGAACTCAGCTTTGTCTCTGGCCAAACCACACAGACTGGATGCTGTATGGCTTGTCATACTAATGCTGAAGGAAGAAAGCCAACAAAAAAACCCGTTAACAACTTTGTCCGCAATATATGTAAGTATGTAAACTGGGTCTTACATCAGCAGCAAAAAGGTAAAAAATATAACTCTGGGATTATTTGTACACAAACAACAAAGAAACTGATTAACTCACGGTACAAATTTCTTCCGCTCCGAACTGTAAATGTATCTGGGCACATCAAAGGCTCCAATGATGTTGAAAACATTATCTCTGGAAGGGAGTTTTAACAACTTTTAGGCAAAGATGTAGTTTATAAATGTATTATGATCAGTAAATCAAATTGAAACACTTACATGTTTTCATCACAAGACTGAGTGCAATCCTGAACAGCACTCTCCACCACAGACAGCTCTATCATGTTAGAGGACACTGTTGGGAAAAACAAACATCGGTCACAACTGGCAAACAAACTTCAGGTAAACATAAAAACACATTAGGTATAGGGATGCCAGAAACTGACCATGATCAAAATCGAAAATCGGACAGCCCTGGCGAATAATAATCGATTATTCGACGCCCGCCCCACCCCCCCCGCGGGAGAGAAAAAAAAAAACTCTTGCATTTGACCTCATTTGCACTTGTCAGTTTGAAGTAATTCCACGAGGAACTCTTCTTTCCTTGAAAACTAAGCCAGGAAAAAAAAAAACATAAATTAACCAGGAAAAAAAGACAAACATAAATAATAATAAAAATATATATAAATAAAATCGAATTTTAAAAATAATTTTCGATTATGGAGACTGTAACGAATATTCGAATAATTGAATAATCGCTGGCATCCCTTAGGTACTGCTGCAGAAGATTCTGCACAAGGGTTGACTGCCTCTTGTCTCTCATACTGACTGCTTGCCAGAGTTTTGTAAGTCTAAGCGAGCTCTGCTGGACAATGTCTAACGTGATGAAACCATCCTGTTAGTGTTCCACCCTTTTGCATGTTAGACAACATATAAGATGAAAACCTGCCAGGCTCTAAAACAAACAGTGATCTTTTGAGACAGGTAGTTCTGTACTTACATGGTTGCTTTTCCACTGCATCCAGAACCTTTTCAATAATGTCATCCAGCTCAGTGGCATTGACAGACTCCAGGACCTCCAGTAGGTATTTGCTGGCTTCACTGGTGCACAAAAACCATGCATGTAAAAACAAGAAAAAATGCATGTTTCTTTCTTTTGACTGCTTATATGAAAGCAAACTAATAAAGAGTTTCCCAGAGAAAATGTGTGTGCTTGCTTTCGATAACAAATATTCCAGAAAACATTTATGACTTCTATATTTTGTCCTGCTTAAGAAATAGACTGCAATGTTTTCAAAATGTTCATATTAGACGATATTTTGTATTTAAGCTGGAGCATAGAAAGAGTCACCCTAAGTGTAAACATGAAAGAAGTTTATCTTTCAGTATGACCGCATTTAAAGAAAGCAGCTGAGGTAATCCCTGCAACCAGGTTCATTAACCTTAAATTGATCTTTTTTTATTTTCTACATGAGCACCAAGGGGATGTTTCAGTAGAAGTTAAAGTGCTGAAATTGGACATAGTAGAATTGGAATCACTGTAGAAATGTATACTAAAGGTGGGGGACTAAAAGCAGTTGAAATATCTTAAGAGTTGTTACTGTTTATTGTCACGTCAAGTGTAACGTCAAGCGGTTTAAGGTAGACCTGACTATACAAAACCATTGCCCACATTAAGTTACATTTCCAGGTTGTCACTGCCATAACATTAGACAGACAGAGCCGACCGCTTCCAGACTATCGCTGCCTTTGAGGCGACAGATATCTTGTATGAAGTTAACGCTCTTGTTGACTAAACAGCAGTAACGTTACAACATTAACAAAACGGTTTAATATGATTAAAATACATACGGTCGAAGTATAAGTCCCCGCATCTTGAAGCCAGCGGACACTTTTGTCTTAATTTTGCGAGCAACATCCATGGTTGTTACAATGAAGCGTCTCTGTTGTCACTGCTCGACTCAAGATTTGGCGCTAAATGTCAACTTCCGGATGTATTTCATCACTTCCGCTGACGAACAAGCTCTAGCGTTGGTGTGAATGAGGTACTATCTAGAGCAGGGGTTCCCAAAGTGGGGGTTTAATTATTATTAATAATAACGTTTGCATAGACTTTTTCCTTTTTCTTTCTGAAATTATTTCACTAGCACCCCCC